AAGTCCAAAGGTTGTGGAGTGGGAACCTGGCAGGGTTATATCAGGAATAGGAAGGAGCAGACTGAGGGAAGCAGGACAACAGAATACGATGTCAGACAGGAAGGGCCTTCAAGCCACATTAGGACTAGGATTTTACTGGGAGTAAACTAGAGTTTTTAGGCAGAGAAGAAGCTTAACCTGGTGCATGTTTCAAATTTTTCTGACTTCCACAAAGACAGTAAACCACTCTGGTGGTCAGAAGGCGACTGCAGGAGTTGATCATGGTAGCCTGGGCCACAGGCGTGCTAGCCAAGAAGTGATCATATTTTAGACATATATTTAAAGAGAGAACCCAAAGGATTTACTAATGGATTTAATGTAGAATGTGAGTCCACTGAAGAAGCTGAGACATCATAAGGCTCTGGGAACGCACAACAGGAAAATAGCTTCTGTTTTCGGAGGATGAGGGAGACAGCAGGCACAATCACTGGTGTTCCAAGTGTTGAATGAGGAATTCTGTTACTGACATGTATGACAGATAATAAAAGATGTCAAATAGATAATGATCACAAACCATGCAGTTCAAGGGCAATATCAAGGCCCTTGCAAAAATACAAGTTTGGGAGTCACCAGTATCTGAGATCATATTTAATACCACAAGCAGAGCTAAGACATCTAGAGAGTAAGCAGAGTAGGAGGCAAAGTCCACGCAGAACTGATGGTAAGTAAGGGGAGAAAAAAAAGAAAAGAATGAAATCAAATGGGTCACATGCTGCTGACAGACCAAAGAGCAGAAGAAACAAGAATTGATCACTGAAGTCTTCAATGTAAAAGTCATTAGTATCCTTGACAAGGGCTGTTTTGGTGAAATTGGGAATGGAAAATAGCAAAATACTGAACAAACTGGGTTTAAGGGAAAATGGAAGAAAAGACAATGGAGATGGACATAAAGAAAATGTGTTTAAGGGATTCTGTCATAAAAGAAAGCTGAGAAATTAATCACTAAAGAGGAAAAGAGAAGTTTTGCTTTACTGTTTGAGTTGTGAACTTAGGGGAAGATGGGTGAGGTATTTTGGGGAATTCTTTATACTATTTCACAAACCTTTTTATGTTTAAAACTACTTGAAAATAAAAATGTGCTTAACGAGATGAAAAAATAATTACCTGATTTAGGCAAGAAGTACATGCCTAGCAAATTCCTTAACAGGACATTGTTTTAGATGCTAGGGATACAATGAGTATTAAAACAAACAAAAACCCTTCTCTTACATGTGCACTGGTAGAAATAATTCAACAGAAAAGGTTATCGACTGATGAAGAAGAGAGAAGTGACTCAGTGAGAGGAGATGGAAACCAGTCCCTGAGAGGAGAGTCCCGTCCCTGAGAGCAAGGCATGTCACCCA